GATATAGTAATTCCATTTTTCATTTTTTGAGGAATAGCCAAACTGGTTTTGCATAGTGGCTGGATGCACTGCCTTATTTTGTACTTTCCCTATATAGAATAATCTGTAGAAACTCATCTTCACTATGTAAGGCACCTAGGGAGTAGCTCTGCACTGGTAGCTCACAATGCAGGACTCATCCTTTCTTTTAACAGATATCCATTGAACTCCTCTGGTGTGTGTCAGCTGTCATGGCTGGCCCTCAGGATTTCAGGCATTTTCATGGAATCCAGTAGAGGCTCAGTCCTTGGCTAAGTACTTGAGATACCAAGACAAATTAGGCACCATACCTGTGCTAGATGACTAATTCATTAGTGGTCTGGTTGAGGGAGAAAGACTTGTAGGTAACAAGGATAATAAGGTATTGCAAGGGCTTTTGAGTATGCAAAAGGTACTGTGAAGGTACAAAGCAATGAGTGAACCACCTTCAGATGGGGCTGGGGAGGGAACAAGGGGGAAAGTCACACAAGTAATAGTCATGGTGGAGGGCTCACTTAAACTTTGAATGACAGGGAGATGCCTGCTTCTTAGTATACAGGAATCTATTATAGACAGTGAGAATGTGGTGAGGACACACAGGGAGCTCTAAGTTGCTGGGCATGGCTGAGGCTCAGGGGATGAAGCCAGTGGAAGACAGTGAGAGAGGTGAAGCTGAAGAGAAAGGCTAAGGCCCAATCACCAAAGGCTTTGAGTACTCTTCTGAGGAGCTGTCCATGATACTGTAAGCCACAGAAAGGCACTGAAGGATTCCCACTGGGCAGTGGCAGTGTTAGATCTGAGTTTTGGAATACTTCATCTGGCTACAATGGGGATGGTGGATAGGGAGAGGACAGGATGCAGAGAGATTAGTTAAAGGACTGCCTAAGGAAGAAGGTGAGACCTGAATTAAGGGGGGAGCAGTGGGAGTGGAGAGGAGATGACGGATTTGAATAAACCTGTTTAAAGTCAAGGGACTGGCTGAGATCACTAAGAGACTAAACACACACTGAAAAACAACAATTTAAGGACCAAGCCTTGGAGCACCCCAACATTATGAGTTTGGAGAGATGGGGGAAGATCCAAAAGTAGAAAGTTGTAAAGAGCTGGCAGCCTAGTGAAGAAAGTGCTTCCAAAGGAAGGGAAGAGTCAACAGCATCAAATATTCAGACTAAATAAGGGAGGGACTTGGCAAAGTGGCAGTCATTGTGACATGACCAGCTACAGGGGAAGAGGGCAGTGTGAGAAGGAAGCCCAGATGTAGTAAAGACAGACTAGAAGAACTTACTAGATAAGTAAGTACAGACAACAGTTTTGATGAGTACTATTATAAATGGAACAGGTGATTGGGTGATAGCTGGAGGGAGTTATGGGGCAATAACGGTTATTTTTCAGGTATAACAGCATTTTTCTATACTAATGGGAATGATCAAAGGGAGCCTGGAAATGGAGGCAAGATACAGGGAAGAACAGCTAGCAAGTTCCACGATAAGGTCTATGAGGCATACGATGGAAGCAGGTGGGCAAGGGCAGGAGTTGGCCTCAGAGGCTCAGATGGTTCCTACAGAAACTGGAAGTAATATAAAGTAAAGGGACCCAGAGGGTGGGTGGTTGCAGGCTGAGGACCACTGTTTAAATTCTGGCTCCCCTAACTAGCTGTGCAGTCTTTTGGCTGATAGACATGTGCACAGACAGCCCCACGCTGCCCTTCTGGTACAAGCCCCATGCAGCTTCCTTTCTCTCTGGATATACAGTTTAGGGAGGAAAGGTGGAAGACAGTGGCTTCTGAGTCTTTAGCAAAAGCCAGGTATAAACATTTGGAAGACTCCATACTCTCTTTCCTCCCCACTTAGCCTGGCCTTTGCTGAGGGGAAGAAGCAAATGCATTCATGATGATGTTTAAAAATATCCACAAAACTTAAACTGACCTAGCACTTGGCAACAGCCAGGTGCTACCATAAGAACTTGACATATCCAAACCCTTTCTCCAGACCACACCCATTTCAGAAGGGGGAAAAACCAAGGATCTGACAAGAGCTCCTTTAGGGCATTCAGCTCAGAGGCTGTGGGCCTACCCCTTCCCGGGGAGGGCTTCTGTCCAGCTCTCCTCCCAGAAAGTGCTGTTGCAGTAAGTTCACCTGGTGCTCCCATGCCAAAGCACTGAAGTGTATGCACTGCCTATCCTGCACTACACAGTGAGTCTCAATGGCACTTTTCAATACACAGCAAAGACAAACCTCTTACAGCTCAATAGGCTATAAAGACTAGGATTAGCTGCCAATTGCACTAAACACAAACAGCAGCCCACGAATGCCTCACCAGATGACCCAGCAATTCTACTCCTAGGTATATACTTCTTAAATTGAAAGAAGGTTGTTGTGGGCTGAATAATGTAACCCTCAAATTGAAGCCCAAATCCCAGGTACTTTAGAATGTGATTGTACTTGGAAATAGGGCCTTTACGAAGGTGAAGTTAAAATGAGGCTACTAGAGTGGGTTCTAACCCAATGACTGGTGTCTTCAAGAGACACCACAGACATGTGGCAAGGAGTAAGGTTTCAGGAGAAACCAACCCTTCTGGCAGCTTTATTTGGGACTTCTAGCCTCCATAGCTGTTATAGAATACATTACCATGGTTTAAGCCGGCCAATTTGTGGTACTTAGTTATGGGGATAACTTGCACACCTATGCTAGGATAAGGTTGAAATAGTCCAAGTGTCCATGTACAGATGATGCATAAACAAAATGTAGTACATATACACAAAGGAATGTTCTTCAGTCATAAAAAGAATGAAAAATTGGTATGTGTTATAATATATATCAACCTCAAAAACATTATGCCAGTCATAGGATAAATATTGTATGATTCTACTTATATTAGGTAACTAGAATAGGCAAATTCATACAGACAAAAATCAGATTAGTGGTTGTCAGGGATTTAAGGGAGGAGGAATGTGGGAGTGACTGCTTAATGTATACAGGGGTTCCATTTGAGGTAAGGAATATGTTTTGAGACTAGACAGAGGTAATGGATACACAACACTGTGAATTTACTATAGAACACTGAATTAAGCACTTTAAAGTGGTTAAATCTACGTTACATGAATTTCACCTCATTTTTTAAAAAAGGCATAACTACATTTTTAAAAAGTCCTATCAGGAACATACAATGTTGATATCCATGGTAGTCTATTATGGCAATTCAGGTCATATACACACGGGAAAGCCTGCAAACACATACAAACATGTATGTACACATGCATATGACAGAGCAAAAACAGTTAAGCATAAGCCTCACTGTGTCAACTTACCAGTGCAAACCTATGCCCAAAGCTTATCCACTCCTTTTCTATGAGAACTTCAAATCCTTTAATGGTCCGGTAATAACTGTCCAACATCAGCATTGCCAGAGAGGTGAGTTGAGCGGTTCGGTCCCAACCATCACTGCAGTGCACCACCACGGAGGTTTTCCCAGATTCAATTTTATCAGCAATTCTTACTGCCCCAGCTAGAAGCATCTTCAGAACAGAAGGCACATTAGACAAGGCTACACTGAATTTCAATTGCTGCATAAAATAATTCTGGGAAGGACTTCGGAAGTTCAGGCTAATAAACCACTCAAGAATGCCATGTAGGAGCTGGACATGCAGCTCAGTGGCAGAGCACTTGCCCAGCATGCAGGAGAACCTGGGTCCCATCCCTGAAAAAAAGTGTCATGCAATCAACTGAAAAATCACTAGGAAATATTAACATCATATAAAAAAGCAAAAAATTCTTAGATTAAGAAAAATTAAGCAATAAACAGGGTTCCTTATTAAAGGATCACAAAGTTCTTTTTAAAACCTGACCTGAGGCAAGCATTATCCCCTCCTTCATGATGTCAAAAGCCCTCCACAAAGACCACAGTCCAAATGCTGCTTGTGCAAACTATAAAAGCTTACATACACAGTAGACATGCATTTAATTTGTAATGTTGAAAAACCACTCAGAGATAGAGATATTTATAGCACAGATGAAGAGATGTCTTAATGAAAATGCTAATAAAACACTGGAAATCTTTACCCTAATATATTCCAGCCAGTGCGTTCCATCCACATTGGATAGCCACCGTGCCTCATCAATGGAAGGGTATACAATCTCTTTTAATTTTCGGAGTGACTCTCTCATCACATGAATATTGTGGATTTCTAAGAACACGAGTTCTGCATTTGGGTAAGCACTTTCACTTTCATATCCTCCACCCTTTGCCTGTAAAAAACAAAAGATATGCATCACTTCATCTGGAATGAACTTTTCTATTGCTTCTAGTACTGCCACACATAGATCACTAAGAAATAACAAACCCATCTGTTAACAAATCTATATTCTACTATGATTGTCCAAGAGCCACCAGAACAAAGTACCAAAAGTTGGATATCTTAAAACAACAGAAATGTGTCATCTCATAGTCTGAAGGCTAGGAGTCTGAAATCAAGGTGTCAGCAGGGCCACGCTCCCTCAAAAGTTTCTAGGAAAGGATACCTCCTTGGCTTTCCTAGCTCCCAAGAGCCCCTGGCATTCCTGGGTTTATAGACACATCACTTTAATCTCTACTTCCATCTCCCCTTATCCGTAACTCTGCTTGTTTTCTTATAAAACCTTCCTCACATCAGATTAGGGCCCACCCTAAACCAATATGACCTCAGCTTGACTTGGTTACAATTTATAAGGACCCTACTTCAAAACAAGGTCACATTGAAAGCTACTAGGAGTTAGGACTTCAACACATCTTTTTTATGGGGACATAATTCAAGCCTTAATCATCTTCCTTCACCTATTATGGTTTCTAAACCAAATGTATAACAACTGATTCTTACTCAAGGAGAATGAGGTTTTAAAAAGTTCCTTCTGTTAGTGCCATCTATCTGAATAGAAAAAGTTGTTCTGCCACAATGTTTCTGTATAGTTCTCAAACCATGAAATTTGTCTAAGCAATTTAAGTAAAATAAAATCCAAATGTATCAAAAAAGGGAATATGGTTTGATATCCCTTTGGTGAGTTCATAATAAAATGTGGTCTGTAGTTAGCTTACATTTTACAGAGGTCAACATTCAAAACATATCTATGGTGAGGATATAGAGGAACTGGAGCTCTAACACATTGCTGGTGGAAATGTAAAGTGGTACAGCTGCTGTGGCAAACAGTCTAATGGGTCCTCAAGAAGTTAAACATAGAATTACCATATGATCTAGTCATTTTATCCTGAGTATATATCCCAAAGAATTCAAAACAGGGATTCAAACAAAAACTTGTACACAAATGTTTACAGCAGCACTAGTCACCCTAGCCAAAAGGGAGAAACAATCCAAATATCCATCAAGAGATAGATGGATGAACAAAACGTGGTCTATCCATACAATGGAATATTATTCAGCTATAAAAGGAATGAAATACTGATGCTACAGTATGGAGAAATTCTAAAAACAGGTGAAAGAAGCCAAACACAAAATACCACATATGGCATGATTCCATTTATATCAAGTGTCCAAAACAGGGAAATCCATAAGGACAAAGGTATACTAGTGGGTGCTGGAGGCTGGAGGAACAGAATGGGGAGTGACTGTTAATGAGTACAGGGTTTCCATTTAGGGTGATGAGAATGTACTGGGATAAGACAGTAGTAGTAATTGCACAACACTTTGAACTGGAAGTCACTAAATTGTAAACTATGGAATGGTTAAATGGTGAGTTTTATGTTATCTGAATTTTATCTCAAAAAAAAAAGTAAACACCTGTGATCCAAAGAACACAGTATTAATTTAGTCTCTAACCATTTACCAAGTGAATGTGAATGGCCAGCCCTGAACTAAGTCCTGGGGCAGCAACAATGAACAAAAGTGGAGACTCTGGTCCTCCAGGCCCTGCAAGTCTAGGAGAGTGGGCAAAGGAGAACATGGTCGAGGACAGCACAGGGCTGTAGGTCCTATGCTATAGGACAGCACAGGAGGCACCAGGTGCAGTGGTCAGCCCTGCACATCAAGAAGGGAAGAAAGGAGAATCAGGGAAGAAAGAACAAGAATACCCAAGGCAAAAGGGCCATATATATAGGTGAATACATGGCTTCTGAGTGGGAGATAAATTCAGCACAGAAAATGCTAGGGCAGTGGGGAAAACAAAGAATGATGAGGCCAGAGAGCATGCCTGGGCCAGATGTCAGGAGTGAAGACAGCCAGCCAGTAGAGGAAGAAAAGACTGGAGGAAGTTAACCAGCACAGAAATGGGCAATCATCTGGCTGAAAGAAGTAAGTCAGAGAGACACCAAATTTGAGATATTTAAAAGACCGGACACAGTGGCTGACTGGAGAAGTGGAAGTGGCAAAGACAGGTTACACCCATGATTCTAAGCTGGGCAACCCAAGAGATGATGGCATCATTTATTGAAATACACATTACTGAAGAAGGAGCAGATTCTATGGGGGAAGAGAGTTTGGCTTTTAGTGTAGTCAGCATCAAATGAGGCTGTAAGAATATTCAACTGGAGATGTCTAGAGACAGCGGAATAAATATGAAATCTCAAGACCGTGGGAAAAATATTAATATGGAAGTCACTGGCACTTGGATGGATGATAAAGGCAGACAAAGGCATGCTTCATGGTGCTCCCCACAGTGTATAATATGAGGAGAGTAGCATAGGACAGAAGCCTGAAGAAATTTGAGGAATCTAAAGAAAAGGGACAGAGAGAAGAACAAAGAATGAGAATATGACTTAATGAGTAAGGTCCTTTCAGCAGGTAGGAGAGGCTAGGGAGAGAACACAGGGCCTAGGGAGAAGGCCAACTCTTCCACTGCAACAGGAGACATGATGGGGAGGAAGTTTCTCGTCTGAAAGTTTGTTCTGTGTGAGGAAGCAAAGCCAGCTGTTGCAAATGGAGGGCTGGAGGACCATATACTTAAAAAACCAGAAAGGGGTCAAAATGGCCCTTGTGGAGAATGGGGAAGCTAGTTGGGGAAACTTAAGAGGACTCCCCAGCAGCATTGAGGGCCCAGCTGAGGCTAGAGCACATAAATCTGGAATGACTCCAGTCTACATGCTGTGGGCCTTCTGTTCTAAAACATTCAGCAGCCCAGGGTATGGTCATGAGAAAGGCAGACAGGAAAACTGAAGTGAGCCAGGCAGGAATGAGTTCATTAGACATCTACTTTGTGCCAAAGCAGAGGAATCAGCCTTGGGTAGTCAGTGGCCAGGGGCAAGAAGTTCCATGAGGTAGTGAGTGAGTCTCATGGTTATTAAGCCCGTCTGCATAAAGAAAACATGAACCAGGAGAATATATTAAGGATAATTTCTTGTCTGTAAACAAATTATAAAAAATACAAACCAGACGAATGCTATTAAAAATGAGGTTATGAGCTGATTGAGGTAGCATATGCCTATAATCTCAACTGCTTGGGTGTTGGAGATAGGAGGATCAAGGTTCAAGGCCAGCACAAGCAAAAGTTAGCAAGACTCTATTTAAAAAACAATCCTACCATGATGTTACACGCCTGTAGTCCCAGCTACTCAGAAAATGGCAAGAGGAAGATCACAGTCTGAGGCTGGCCTGGAAAAAAGCAGGAGACCCTATCTGTAAAACAAACTAAAATCAAAAAGGACTAAGGGTGTAGCTCAAGTGGCAGAGTTGGCCTAGCAACTGTGAGGCCCTGAGTTCAATTCCCATGAGGGCTAAAAGTATAAGGTTATGGAGTTAAAAGGGCACTGCATGCTCTGTGCCACGATGCAGGGAACAAGCACCTGGAGATCTCAAGACAGAAAGAAGGAGAAGGGAGTGAGAAAGGAACCCCATCTATATCCTGGCAGGAGCAGAGGGGTGAGGTTCAGAGGGTTGTGGAAAACAAAGAACTTGCTGGTCAGACTTCTCTCCACAGGGTTTAACAAAACAGGGTTCTCAAGAGGAGCAAGTGAACTTGAGACACTGTTACCCACATATGCCCAAGTCTATAAGAAGCTTATAGTGGCAACGGGACATTATCAACCCTGTGGGAAACAGAAATCTGCATATCCCTTGGGAAGCAGCCATCTGGATGGACTCAGGATCCCCTGATTTCAGAGCAGCTGTTCAATGGCTGAAGACCTGCCAGGCCATTGCAACAAACTTGTCTATAGTCTGCAGCAGGGATGGCTTCCCACATGACAAAACAGCAGCCTCAGAGAGAACCGTGAAGATGCACAGCAGCAGAATCGTCTGCCAGACTACAAGGCCTGCACATCCTGCCCCCACCCCCTGGCTTCTAGCCTCCTTGCCCCCATTCCTTGCTCCCACCACTTGGGATACTGAATCCTTCTTTAGGTCTCAGAGAGGACATTTCTGTGCTTGGCTTCTGCTCCTCAAGGCTACAATCACCACCCAAAACCACCTGCTGGGCACCAATCTCAACCACAACCCTGACCTTTTTCTGAGCTCCAGAGCCTTGTCTTTCCCACCCAGGATTCTCAAATGTAACAGGTTACAGCTAAATCTTGCCATCCATATTACAGGTTCTGAAAAACAACTCCGACTTAAACATCTTTCATGTTGTCACTATGCCTCCATAATGGAGTCAGAAAATTTTAATGTAACATGCAATGCCACTTGCCATTAGGTCCTCTAGCTAGTGATGGTCCATGCAAAGAAAATCCTGACTGCCAACCAGCACTTCATCTCACAGCCTTGAGACAGCCATTCATGTACCTGGTCCAGTTCTGGGAATGTACATATACACAAGATCCTCATGGTCCCTACTGTCAAGAACCTGAGGACCAAATAGCTAGACAGCCACTAAACAAGGAATCAGAAGTATGCCGAGGTTCACAGAAAAGGACGTGCAGAGTACCACAGAACAAGGAGAGATCTGCTCATCTGGAAGGACCTCTCTGAAGAAGTGACATTTAAGGTGTCAACTGAAGGACAGGGGATTCTTAGGTGAGCAGAGGTTATATGAGCATAGGCAAAGGTTCTGAGATGACCCTGGGATGTGTTTATGGAACTCAAAGGAGTTTCACACAGCTAGCACATGGACCTGGAAGATGTGGTGAGACAGAAAGGAAAGGACTCAAGGGTGGAGGGCTTTAGAGGTCCTGGTCAGCAATCTGGAAGTTACTGCCTCAAGGCTCTGAGGGATGTGCACAGAGCTCTGTACATAGATCACTCTGCAACATGGTGACAATAATGATGTAGTATATACCTGAAAATTGCTAAGAGAACAGATTTTTCACTTCAAAAAATAAGCATGTGAGCCAAGCACTGGTGGCTCATACCTGTAATCCTAGCTACTTGTGAGGCTGAAATCAGGAGGATCACAGTTCCAGGCCAGCCTGCGCAAATGTTTTTGACAATCCATCTCACAGAAATAAAGCTGGGCTCATGGCATGTGCCTGTCATTCCGGCAAGGGTGGGAAGCTTAAAATAGGAGGATCATGGTCCAGGCCAACCTGGGCAAAAAGCAAGAGCCTATCTCCACAATAACCAGAGTAAAAGGGGCTGAGGGTGTGCAACTGCGAAGCTGAGTTCAACCTCAGTACTGCCAAAAAAGGAAAAAGTATGTGAGGTCATGCATAGGTTCTCTAGCTTGATTTAACCATTCTATAAGATATACATATTTCAAAATATCATGTTGTACACCATAAATTATACAACTTTGTCAATTAAAATTAATAAAAATAGGGTTGGGGGCATGGCTCAAGTGGTTGAGTGCCTGCCTAGCAAGTGTGAGGCCCAGAGCTAAAACCCCAGAATTGCCAAAATAACAATAATAATAATAATTTTTAAAAGGAAGATCACTCTGGTTATAATGTGGAGAGTATATTGCAGGGTTGAAACAGAAGTCCAATTACAAGTCCAATTAAACTACTACAATTGTGGTAGTTTAGACAAGAGATGAAGGGTCTTCTAAAAAATAGAAGCAGAAGGAATGCTCCCTAATTCATGAGGCCAGTAGTGCCCTGATAACAAAACCAGACAAAGACAGCACAACAAAACTACAGACCAATATATGTTATATCATTCTCAACAAAATACTAGCAAACAAAATTCAGCAGCATGTTAAGGAAATTACACACCATGACCAAAGTGCGATTTATCCTAAGAATATAAAAGGGGTTACATTAGTTTCCCAGAGCTACTGTAACAAAGTATCACAAACTAGGGGACTTAAAAAAAACACAAATTAATTCTCTCCCAGTTCTGAAGCCTGGAAGTCCAAGATCAAGATGTTGGCAGGGTTGGCTCCTTCTGGAGGTGCTAGGGGAGAATCTGTTCCAGGCAGACCTCTTTCCTAGCTTCTGATGGTTGCTGGCAATCCTTGGCCTCTACCTCTCTGCTTCTCTTGCCATGTAGCCATCTTTCCTCTTTGTGTGGCTGCATCTCTAGATGGTCTTCTTGGAAGGATACCAGTCACTGAATTTTTTTAAAGCATTTTTATGAGCATACATTAGTTGTACAGTGGGGATTCATTGTGATACTTCTTTTGTTGTTCATTTATTCACATGTGCATACATTGTTTGGGTCATTTCTCCCCCCTGCCCCCCTTCCCCACCTATCCCCCCTTCTCCCCTCAGTTCCAGGCAGGGCCTGTTCTGCCCTTATCACTGATTTTGTTGAAGAAAAGACATAAGCATAATAAGGAAGACAAAGCATTTTTGCTAGCTGAGTTAAGGATAGCTATACAGAGAGATTCCTATTATTGATATTTCTGAATATACTTACATTGTATATTGGTTAGGTTTGAGATTTAAGGCCTACTCTACTCTAACATGACCTCATCTTAACCAAATACATGTACAGAGACACTATTTTCAAAAAGGTCATTTTCTGAGGTTATAGGTAGACACAAATTTTGGGGTGACAATTATCAAACCCAATGGTGAAAACCTGAAAGCTTTCCCCTAAGATTAGGAACCAAAGATGTCTTTTTTTATTCCTATGATTCAACATTGTGCTAAAGGTTCTTGATAGGGAATCAGGTAAGAAGCTGTGAAAGGCACTTTGATCAGAAAGGAAGAGCTCAAACTCTCTATGTGCACATGCCCTAATTATATATGTAGAACTGATAGGCACTTGCATAAATAAGTGGCCTTATGTATGTTCTAGATATTTGCACTGCTATAGTTAAAATCAGTCAAGACATGTAATTTGGTGTCTTTCTTCAATGAACTGACTTTGCACTACTAGATATTTAGAAGACTGTTTTCACAAATATAGCTTTTCTCACATTTTATAATTCCTTGGGATAGTACTACCATGGTGACAGGGAGGATTCAGAGATGGAGAAAAACTGACACAGCAAATGATGTGCCAGACATGGGGACTAAGGAGGACTTACCGATGAATGATGCCTCCCTAAGCTGAAAAGTACCCCTCCAAAGACATCCACATTAAATCCCTGGCAACTATGAATGAAGAAACAGTTCTTTGCAGATGTATTAAGGATCATAAACTGAATGGATAATCCTGGATTATCTCAAGTAGGCCAAAATGCCATTACAAGCATCCATGGAAGAGATACAGAAACACAGAGGAGGAGAGGGGGAGGAGGTTACATGAACATGGAGGCAGAGATTGGAACGACGTGGCTACATGCCCAGGAATGCTGGGGTGTACATGAGAAACTGGAACAGGCAAGAAACAGATTTTCTCCTAGAACCCATACAGGAAGTATAGCCCTGCCAGAGTTTGGATTTGTGGCCTCCAGAATTGTGAGATAGTACCCTCCTGCTGTTGTAAGCCACCAAGATTGTGGTGGCTTATTCAGCAACATCTGGAAACCAATACCTTCCCCATCTTCCTCCCTGCCTTATTCTTCTCCCAGCCTTCCCCATCTCAGTAAGCGACACCACAGCTCATCTACTAGTGAGATACCTGGGCAGCCTCCTTGACCACAGGGGGTGAGCTTATTATGTACTGAAGACTAAGGATGTGCCTGCCATCATGCAGAGTCATTTAAATGCTCTATTCTCACATAACCCTCAACATGAGACACTGGTATTATTTCCCATTTTGCAAAAGGGAAACCAGAGGCTTAGAGAAAGGTTAAGTAACTTGCCCAAAGTTCTACAGAGCACCAAGTGGCAGAATCTGGAGGAAAACCCAGATGTGACTGAGCCCAAAGCCCTGGGGTCTGACCACTCTGCAACACTGTCTCTTAGATTGGCTTGGGTTTACTGACGTCCTGGGAGATGAAGTAACTGCCCAGGGTCCCACAGAAAATAACCAGGTTCCTTCTATACCACCTCCTTAATGCTACAGTGGATAACCAAATGTGGCAGTTTGTACAGTTACCTGTTTGATATGTGTCTCTTCGACTAATCCCGACAGTTGGCCATATTTATCCCCAGTGCCTGGCACATGGTAGGTAATCAAGTATGAGGGAAGATGGCTATTTATGTGCCTAATGGTTTCTTTGATCTTCAAAATAGAAAGTAATGACTTCTACAAAGAGTGAGAGGGGAAGATAGGAGGTTGGCTCTCTGGAGACAGTGGTCAATGATGGCAAAATCACTGAGAAGAAAATGAACAAGCTGACAACAGAAACAAAATTTGACTCAAAAGCATTGCTGAGGTGAGACACTACCTCTAGACATCCTCCTTCTTGTCATTTTTGTGAATGACATGCCCCATCACACTCTTGGATAGGTGCTCATGCTGTCTGGAATGTCCTGCCCAACTCTCTGTCTGCTGACCATACAAAGATCAAGTGCCATCTCCTCTGTGAAGTCCTAGGTAAGCCTACAGCAGAGCTAGACATTTCCTCTTCAGCCCTCCCAACACACTGAGCTTACACCTTCTTATTGCACCTCATCTTGTCTGCCTGTTTCACTCTATTTCAAGGCATCTTGCCCCTAGTAGGGGCTTATTAGATGTGTGCTACCCAACTGTCATTTTATAAGTAGGCATGAGATGATAAAGGCTGTTGTCACCTTTCTAGTACCTGAAATTACTTGAGGAGAGGACAAAGTCCTCTGCCAAATGCCTGCCTGCAGGAACAAACTATAGGAAACATCCATGGAAAACAGAAATGATTCAAATCAGAACCCTGTCTTATTTGGGTAGCAGATATGGGAGACTTGACCTGAAATCTTTCACTAGATACAAAACCCTCAACCACCTTCAGCTAGTGGGGATCAAATGGAAGCCATCAGCAGAGGTATTTGTATCATGTTATATTGTCACCTGATATACACTATCACTGCTTAATGTGATTTATGTAAACTTTCTATATTTGCACAGTTTCGTATGGTTGAATCCACTCTAAGAGCTTCATGCCATATATGAATTAGTCAATTAATCACTATATTTCTTAAATTAGAGTGATTTCAAGGGCTTCGCAATCATTTCATTAAGATACTTAATGATTTAGATAATTCTGTATCTCTGCTTAATTGATTCATCAGAGAGAATTGTGGAGAAGCAAAGAAAGACACAAGATCACAACCCCCATGAGATGCCAAACACAGCCACAGAGTATCTGTGGGGAGGGGACAGCCATAGACCACCCCAAAAACTCAAACTTCAGGTGGTGAGGAATTCAATGGGCTGCTTCAAATGCAACACAATTTATAGAAAGTATGTAATAGTCAATGCCTCTGTATCAAGAATGTACCTTGTTAGTATCAGCAACACTGTTTTGTCGGGCATCAAAGATGATAAGTTTATGTGACTGTGCATTAGCATCCATTATTGTTTGCAGGTATTTTTCATCCTCTTTGCAGCGTTTGTCATTGGGACCCACCAGTGGCTGGCTACAACGGGTAATTGTTGCCTGACTTTCCGGATGAATCCATGATAATACCTAGTGTTTTTGAGCAACAAATATTAACTATTTGTTATCAAATATTATTTCAAAAACATTCCATGCTCTAATTACTTGGTAGGAAAAGCACAGTCTCTCCTGAAAATTTTCCTCAAAGCTAAGAGTTGGCAAGCCAATCATAGCACTACAGTGGCCAAATGACTCAATACTAGGGTCAGGCTGAAACAAATCTGACTAGACAAGCTCTAAACTCTTTTTACCTCTAAAATTCTATGATTCTAGGCAAAACAAAACCTAAGTCCAACTATTACTAAAATCTAGCCCCATTCCTACATGACTGACTAGTTTTATCTTGTCTCCTAACTTAAAATTGTCTTAGTATCTCCACAATAACGTAAGCGGCAGGATGAGGGCAGAGTGACTATTCAGTGTCTTATAAAATCTAAAACCCTGCCACCAAACCTCCCATTTTCTTCCAGTGGCCAAGTGCCTTAGGATCATAGCAAATGCAAACTCTGGGCAAAACCATCACTTCCTGCTGGCCACAACTGTTTCTGTAATAATGTCCCTCCCATGTAGCTATAGCACTCCATTCAGCATGAAGAATGTATTTTCTCTATGGTGATCAAACTAGTGATATGAATTGCTAATGCAACAGCATGCTCTTTCTTGCTACTCCTTTGTTATTCTTGACTACATTTTGAAAGCATAACTTAATTGACCCTTGCACTTAGAAGGAGGAAATTATACAAGGGGGAAACATAGCAAAAAGGATGTTTATATAATTAGGTATTCCTTAAGAATCAAAGGAATGTTCGGGTTTATAAGATTATTTTTCTACTTTTCATTTTGTTTGCTAGTTTGTTTTCTGTCTTGCATCTTTCCCTATTAAATCTAATATAGTATATATTTCTACCTAAATGACAATGTTTATTACTTACAGGGACTCTGCCTTTTGCTCGAAAGGCTGCTACTTTTGAAAGGTCATCATCTTTTACACTAGTTGGCACAACAATGACAGCGGGGTAGGTATCGCAGAACTCATAATTACTGTTTATTTTGGATATTTTCCAACTCTCATTTGGCAAGCCCTGTAGGATGTTAGAAAAGAAGGAAGAAGGGGAAAACATGAATTTCTCCTTTGCAAAAGTACAAAGTATGAATCACATCTATTTCTTATTTTCCACAAAAGTTGATAATTTGTTCATTGTTACTTAAGTAACAATGCTTCTTATCAAAGCGACATCAGTGGTTTGGATCCTCGCTCATCAACTCTTTATCAGGTCATCTGATAAAAACCACCTGGAAGATTTGGTTGTTAAAGCCCTGTCCTTAAGCCTACTTGCCCTCCAAAAGATGAACAACCAGTGACAAAGTCAAAGGTTTGGCATAGGAAATGGAGAAACTACAAGTTAGAAAAGCTATGCCTATGGACAAAGTTTCTTCTCCTCCACTATACTTCTAAACTTTTGGAAGATAAAAAAAATGGTTAAGCTACTCTTTTTGGTTTGATAAGCAACATACTCTACCTGTCTCTTATATTCAGATACTGGGTCATAAACTTTCCAGCCATTAATTGGAAACTTTTCTTTATAGTTGAATGCAAATAGTGCCTGGATAAAAAAAAACCCACAAAACACATGTCAGTGCTTATTGTCATATAACAAATATTAAAGCTCTTTTCATTCTGATATGAGCTGAATGCATTGAGGTTTCTATTTTAATTTGCAAATTTTAAATTACAAATTAGCAGCTTCTCTTAATCACTACACAGAACTGCAAAATTCAAATATTTTAATATTAGTTACCAACATAGAAAAAAGATAAAGGAAATCTCTAGAGAAAGGAGTAATTACACACGAAATTACTTGGACCCCAATAAATTCATGCAGAAAAGGTTTACTTTGGTGTACTTACCTGTCCATTAGAAAGAGGAAATGCATGCTTGTTGAGGTTTTCAAATATCCCAAGTTTACGCTGCTCTTCCTGTTTATATGCAAGCCGCAAATTCCTCATATCCTAGTAAACAATTAGTAAAACTCAGCTAATCAATATGTATTGAGCACCTATGAGCCAGACAGATACCATTCCCTTAACTATGTATTTTAATTCATGTCTCATTTTATACTCTGTCATTCTATTGGAAAGCAATTTAACAAAAGTACCTCCAATGAGATTAAAAAATAAGTAAGGCAACTGGAATAAAGGGGACATGTGCAGGGGAGAAATCAGAATAAAATGTAAAGAGTAATGTTTCTATACAAAAGCTGTGTCATTAAGTCCTGTGCACCTACTTGCTAAAAGTGTGCCATGGAATTTTTTGTGTACTTTAAGCTTCTAAAAAAGCAACTATAGCATTCACTCCATCCATAAAAGAGAAATGCAGCAGATGCTTCTGCCTGAACACTCAAAGAAAGGGCTGTGTATCACATAGAGACCATAGCCCTCAGTAACATCCTCTCAGCAGAATAATGCTGTTTTATAATATCACAGTTTCTTAAAATGCCCCCCAAAGCAAGATGATGACCAAAGATTCAAGCACAAATCAGCAGGAACAATCCCACCAAAGCCTGCTCTAAAATGGTATCATTTTCTCCCATGATAATGTTTTAAGCATTGCTTCCCAATCTTTTAAAATTTATATACCTGTCAGTTAAACACAAAAATCTCATTCATCTTTAACATTACATGAAATCTAAAAACAAACATGACCAACCTCAAACAAATTCAAGCAACAATTTGGGAAGTGAAGTTATTATGGTATCATTTATAACAGCAAAATAATGGCAATAATCCAAACGTCCATCAACAGGAGCCACAGTTAAATAAACTACAGTACTACTAATGGAATACTAAAGAGTTGTTAAAAACAGGAAGCAGAGTTGGCAAGAAGCAGTTTGGTAGAGTGCTTGCCCAGCATTCACCAGGCCCTGTGTTCGATCCACAGTACTGCTAAAAAAAAAAAAGTAATAAGATGCAGCCTTGTATGTACTGATACAAAGACGTTTCAATGCATATTGTCAAGGGGAAAAATAATGGAGCAGAACAGTGTATGTACAACACTGCCACTGCCATTTAAATTATCAAAGAGTAGACATGCATGCTTCTGTGCACAGGGTATCTGTGAAAGGGTACATTAAGAATTGGAAACTGTAGGTGCCTGCAGGAAGTGGAAAAGGGTGGCTGGGTTGGGGGGGGTGGGGAGACTCACTTGTTAACACCTTTTGTAATTTTGAATTGTGTATCACCCGTTAAATAAACAAATACCACATCTTGCAAGTCTCTTAGGCATGAGCTGAGAGGGCTGGGAGTCTGGCCTTCGTAATTTTAGGCTAGAAAACATTTAAATCAGATGTTAGAAAATGCCCACCCCAGTCATTAAAACAGCCATAAGACACCTGCAAGAGCAGCATAACATTCTGTCATGCCCCCCCCTCCAAGCTACAGTGGTGACGCACACTCCTTGGTATCCAACTGAGCTGACTTGCTGTTTAGGACTGCTCTGAGAGAAAAGAATTCCAAACCATGGAAGAGCATGTACAAAGATCCTGCTGTGGGGCACTGGGGGTGTATGTAACTCAGTGGTAGAGCACGTGCTTAGCATGTGTGAAGTCCTGGGTTCCATCCCCAACAACATGCATGCACGCACACACACACACACACACACACACACAATCTTGGTATGTGCATTAGGAATTAGGAAATATGCACAAGGCAAGTATGAGCAGCCAAAGAAAAGCCAACGGGACTGGGAGGCAAAAGTGAGAGGGGGGCAGGCCAAGACAAAGCTGCAGAGGAAAGTGAATCAGGCTCAAACACCTGGGTGCTTGACAAGAAATGCTTCCTGTAGCCTGAGAATGGGAAGGTACTTGAGAGTTTAAGGGATTGAGGGTGTACCTCAGTCAGCGGTACAGCACTTGTCTAGCACGTGTGAGTCTCTGGGTTCCATCTCCTGCAACCCCCCCCCCAACACACACACTCAAAGAGCTATGAGTAGGGGAACTGACCAAGTAAGCCCTCTACTTTAAGTTCTGTAGCTACTTGTCATTATTCTGCATGTGCAATCCTGCCAGGGAAGGACAACTGCAAAGTACCAAAGGGGACAACTGCCATGTAGTATCTAAAGTGAGTCTAGTAAGCCAGGAGATTCATGACCTGTTAGAGTAAAGGTCTGTCTGAAAGAAATGGATTCAACTGCAGCCTAGAGCCAACCAGGGGGAACTGCCCTCAGAGGTTTGATCAAAGCAAACAGAAGGGCAGGAATCCAAACCCCAAATTTGGAAGGGGCCTTGATTCTGCAGGCAGGATCTCTTTCCTAGTACTTGAAGAAGGTTATTCTAAACTGTATTACATAAGGTAAAGTCACAGGGAATAAAACATATCCATTAAGAGTATTTCTTAAGTGACTATTGATTATTAAAGTTATCATACATATTTCTTAACTCCTTGGAGGAAGGACAAAAATAAACAGCTCAAGGTGAACTCAGGGCCTCACATTTGCAAAGCAGGGACTCTACCACTTGAACCTCACCTCCAACCCCTTTTTTTCCTTTAGTAATTTTTCAGGTAAGGTCTCACTTTTTTTTTTTTTTTTTGCCCAGGGCCAGCCTCAGACTATGATTCTCCTATTCTCCTACCTAGGGTCTCTCATGTAGCTAGGATCACAGGCATACATTTCTATGCCCAGCTTATTGAAATGGGATCTTATTAACTTTTTGTCCAGGCTGGCTTCAAACCATAATCTTCCTGATCTCTGCCTCCAAAGTACCTAGGATTACAGCTGTGAACCACTGCACCTGACCTAAAGGGTAGTCTTAAAACAACAAACTGGGGGAAAAAAGTATTGATCTCTGCTTTCCACAAGATTTCTCTGAGATGTAAAACATAATATAATGCCAGCATTTTAGTTATGTTAGGTCATGTTAATTAGAAATACTGTGACTCCAAAAATGGACTACTTTGATGGGTTATACAAAAAATTGAACTCACTGATACGAGATTTGATGAGGCCACTGCCCTGAAAACATTTGAGTTACTATCAGTACAAATTACTCTTACTATCCAAGGACCATGAAGGATGAGTCAGAATAAGTTCTGAGCTGACTGCCTCCTTTTAGTTTTAATTTGCATATGTAGTCTACCTTGCACACGATCTCTATACCACAAGAATTGTCTCCATGGCTCTGCGCACCAATCTTCTCAACTCTGCTGATCACTCCAAGGGGAACATCAAGGATGAAATGTGGGTCCTAGGTTTAAAAATTAAGATTAATACCTATCAAAGTTAATCAAGAGAGTTTTCAAGTTTGAAGTCTTTGCAGGATTATAAAACATGTTTGTTTACTTTGCATTTCCTCTTTTCCCCAGCTAAGAAACTGAAGTCTGATCTATAGCATACCTTATGAGGTATACGTTGAAAATACAATGAAATATCCCCTCCAAGTAGGCATGGTACTTTAAGTGCCTGTTGGTCAAGATACAAGATCTGTTTTAAAACTCACCCTCTGGTTACCTCTGGTGATGGGATTTCAGGGGACTGTTTACTTTTCTTCTTTTACTGTTCAGAAGTTTCACTTTTTTAATAGCACACTTTTAAAAACTCACCCTCTCTACATTTTTGAAGTACATCTTAAAGTCCGTCACTGTCAGAGTTCCACTCACTGCTCCCATAAACGGGCAGATATACATGACATCTTTCACTGAAAGAAAAAATCCAAAGTAGCAACTACTGCCATAGACTAGTGCTTCAATAACCCTTATTAGCATGAGTTTCCAAATATATGTGTGTGTGATTCCAGTTCTCTAGGAATTTAACTTTATAGATTTATAATCAATTATTGCTTTAAATAAATGGAGATTCTACTAATAAAGTTCAATTATTCAAACAAAACTGATTTGCTACTTAATGAGGTTTTATATTAAAGGCCTCATAATAAGTTACATTTTGTCATTTTTTCCAGTAGTTACCTGAGTGATAAATTGATCATATTCAAAGCATTAATTAAGCTCTGAAGACACTAGACAATTATTTCATAAAGTAACTTTTACTTAAAACTAATGAAAGCTAAGAACTAGCCCCTAAATACCTCCAAGGGAAACTGCTTTACACATAACAAAAACTAAAGCTACATTATTGAAGTTGGGTGTATAGCTCAGTGGTAGAGAACTTTCCTAGCATGCACAAGACCTTGGTGATCTGCAGCACTGGGGAAAAAAAGACTTGTTTCAAATTCCTTATCAGCTTCCTTAGCAATTTTAACTTTCTTTTTGTTATAAATCAAGTGTATAACACACTTAATTCCTATGAGTGTTAAGAAGCTCACATTTATCATAAAGATCCCAGCTCTTCATCTCTTTCCCAAAACATCATTCCATTGAAATGATAGGAACATACATAGCTATGAATGAGTGGGTCAATTAAAGGTACTAAAATTACCACCCAGTCAAATTCTCAAAACACTTTCATTAAACTTTTCTATCATTCATTATGTACTGAATGTCTTTGATTTCTAGGATTCTGGGTATAATTGGACATAGTTACTGCCCACAAGCAGACTGAGATCTGTGAGATACACAGAAAATCACTGTAATACTATAGCCTAATAAATGCTACAATAATGATATGGACACAAAGTAACAAAGCTAAGAAAAGCATCAACTTCAGCAGGAAAGAAGGTAGGGGAAGAAAGAGAAGGAAGAGAGGAAGGAAAGAGAGTATCAAGTTGTTAGAGGTTAATATGGCTGCATCAAAGGGTGCAATGAGGATAAAGGGTCATGAGGTCAGACAGGTTGGCAGGGAGTGGATGAAGAGGTGCTTTTGTGGAATGCTAAGGCATTATTAGTAACCCATCCTTAAAAGATAAACAACAGTGTAAACAAAAACAATGTGTTGTAGGCTTCATAACATGAAAATAAAATGGATGACAACAGCATAATAACTGGGAGGGGTCAAATGGAGGTATACAATTGCACAGTTCTTATCCTATACATGAAACAGTATAAAATCACTTGGGAAGTAGACTGTGATGAGTTAAAAGATGTAAGACAACCAATAAATTAATGGAAAGGCTTTATAGCTACTATGCAAACATAGGAGATATAATGAAATCTTTAAAAGTACTCAATTAAGCCAAACATGGACAAAAAAAGAGGAAAAAAAGAACAAAGAACAGGACAAAAAACCCAAATACAAAAATGGTGGGTTTAAATCTAATTATATGAATAATTTTATAATGTGTAAATGGTCCAAACACCTAATTAAAAGGCAGACATTGACAGATTGCAGACAAAAGCAAGGTCTCAACTATATGTGGCTTAAAAGAAACCCACTTTAAAGATAAAGACACTAATAGTTTGAAATCAAAAGGATGTAAATAGGTATATCATGTTATACTAATCAAGAGAAAGCTATAATATCTATAGTAATATCACACAAAGTGGACTTTAGAGTAATGACTATGACAGGAATAAGTAAGTCCTTTCATATTAATAATGACATTAATTCATCAGAGGGAACATAATAATCCTAAACATTTATGTACTTAATAACAGAGCTTCCAAATAGATGAAACAAAACTGATAGCAATGCACTAAGGAACAGATCCATCCCCAATTATAGTCAGAGATTTCAAAATGTCTCTGCAATAACTGACAGAAGTAGAAAATGAGTAAGAAAACAGAAGATTTGAACAACACTATCAACAAACAACCTAACTGACATTTATAGAACACGCTAATCAGTAACAGTAGAACATATTATTTTTAAATATGTGTAGAATATTTTAAAAGACCATACTGTGGGCCATAAAAGAAATCTTTATAAGTCATAAAAATATATTTTCTGAACACAAATGATATGAAATTAGAAATCAATAACAAGAAAATTTATTAAATTCACAAACATGGAAATTAAACAACACTTTTAAAGAAACCAAAAGTCAAAGAAGGAATAAAAAAGAATAATCCAGAAGCACTTTGAGCTGAGTGAAAATGAAAACACAAAGTCATAATTGATGAGATGCCACTAAAGCAGCACTTGGAGGAAAAACTACATGCCTAGGCTAGAACAAAAGTCTCCAATAAAAGACTACCACTCCCACCAAAAGAAATTAGAGAAAGAGGGAATTAAACACAAAATAAGCAGAATAAATACAAGAGGGAAAATAAATGAAATAGGAAACAAAATAATGAAACCAAAAGCTGATTCCTTCAGAAGGTCAATAATATGGATAAACCTCTAGCCACAGTGATCAGGGGGATTAAAAAAGAGAGAAGATACACTATAATTGCAAAACTGGGAAAGGTGATGTCCATACAAATTGTACAGATGTTAAAGGAACAATAAGGGAGTATGATTAATGACTTTTTGACAATAATTTTACAACTTGGATTAAAGTGGTAAATTCCTGGGAAGACATAAACAACCAAAGTTTACTTGAGAAGAAAAATGAAGCCTAAATAATCTGATAGTTACTAAAGACATTAAATTTATAGTTAAAATCTTCCCACAAAAAAAACTGTAAGTCAAAGTGGCTAAAACTGTTAACAAATGTTTAAGCAAGAAATAAATTCTCCCAGAAAATGGAGAGAGAATAATTCACAATTCATTCTATGAAGCCAGCATTACTGATACCAAAACCTGACAAGCCATTACAAGAAAATCTTAGACCATATCTGTCATAAATACAGATAAACACTTCTAAGTAAAATTCTAATAAATAAAAATCCAAGAAAATCCAACAATATATAAAAAAGATTACACCTAATAAGCAAGTAGAGTTTAACCTGGGAATGCAAAGTTAATTAAACATTTAAAAATTAATTGATATAGTCCACCATATTATAGGCTAAAAAAGAAAAATCACATTATATTAATTGATACAGAAAATGCATTTGACAAAACCTAATATCCATTCCTGATTAAAAACTCTCAGCAAACAAGGAACAGAAGGGAACTTCCTCAATATGAGAAAGGACAGCCACAAAACCCCACAGCTAACATCGTACTTCATGGTGAAAGTGTGAACACTTTCCCAAGATCAGGAACAAGAAAAGAATGTCTGCTTTCACCTCTTCTCCTTAACATTATACTGTAGGTTCAAGCAAGAGTAATAAAGCAAGAAAAAGAAATAAAAGGCATTCAGATTGGAAAGAAAGAACTGGAACGTTCAATTATACATTGCTGGTTAGAATGTATATACTAGTACAACCATTTAACAATTTAGCAGTGTGGGAGACCAGTAACTAAATAGACTGAGAAAGAACTTTGACATGTGCAAGGCCGTGTCAAACACCTTTGTGCTAAGAAGGCAAGGCCCCGGCACAAAGGAGGTAAGCAAGGTTCAGCAAGGCTGCCTTGCAAGTAGGGAGACTGAGGCTGTGGAGACAGACCTTGGCATGAGAACGGCTCTGTCAAGTAGGGCCCCTTGGCTGATAGGCACAGACCCAGCCAAGGGGAGGCAAGGTTCAGAAAGGCTGCCTTGCAGGGAAAACAGGGCATGTTGATGAAGTCAGGATAGTCTGCAGTAAATAACAATATACCACAGCTGCACTATTACTGCTGCATACACGACTGGACCCATGAGAACTCGACCTGCCTTTCACCCCACTTTCGCACACTTGCTGTATAAATAAATGCGCTTGTAGGTGGAGGGGATCACCGGCATCTCTCATTAGGAGTGCTGGACTCACCCGGTCCCAAGTTTTTCTATATGTCTGTCTTTGTTCTTTTTTTCTCAATCCCCAGTTGCTCCCAGTCAGGTCAAGGGAACTGCTCACGCTGGCCGTGAGAAGCAATTTCTTAAAAAGTTAAATATACACCTATCATCTGACCCAGACACCCTATTCCTAAGACATTTATCCAAAAGAAGAGGAAACACATGCCTAATACAAAGACTTGGACATACATCCAGGCATGGTGGTTCATACCTGTAATTCCAGCTATTCAGGAGGTAGGTAGGAGTATTGCAGTCTGAGGTCAGCCCTGGGCAAAAGCAGGAGATTCTCTAAAAAGTAAACTAAAACAAAAAGGGATGGGCACATGGCTGAAGTGGTAGAGCACTTGCCTAGCAAGCAACAGGCCCTGAGTTCAAATCCTGGACCACCAAAAAAAAAAAAAAGGAGAAGACTTGGATGTAAATGTTCATAACATATTTGTTTATAATAGTCAAATAGTAGAAACAACCCAAATATCCACCAAGAGACGAATGAGAAAGCAAGTTGCCCTGAATCCATACAACTAAATACTATTCAGCAATAAAAAGGAGTAATTGCTAACCCATGATACAATATAGACAAATATAAAAATAATTATTTAACCAGGAGAAGTCAGACGAAAAAAAGAATACATGCAATGATTTCCATTAAACACTAGAAAAGATAAATTAGTCTATAGTGTTTGGGGATGGGGAAATGAACAGGAATAGGGACTACCACGGGGCCTAAGGAAACTGCTTGGGGGTGATGGATATGTTCATTACCTTGACTGTGACAATGGCTTCCCAGATAAATACTATGTCAAAACTCTTCACAGTCTGAAAATGACAAACTAAAATAACAATCCATAGAGAATACAGTGACCTATTTTAATACTTTGCCTCAAGGTACACATTTTATTTAAACTAGGGGTTAATTTACTTACCCTTTTCAGGCCACTGGAGGAACTTAAAGCATACTTGCATTGCTTAAGGATATCCTTAACATGTAACTTCAAGATATTTTCAACAACTGGAACAGGAGTGAGGCAGATGGGAACCTCCCTCTCCCAGAGCTCCATTTCCAGAGTGAAAGGAGAAACAACCAACCGCTCCTCCTCACTAAGACAATCATGACCCTGTAATCCAAGCTTTATACATCTCACTGCTAATTCAAATGTGAATCTGACATATGAAGTGATCAACCACCTAGATCAGCTCTAATCTCTTCTAAATGGATTGTGGCCACTGATAATGATAAAGTGAAAAACTCCCTCTTCACATTGTACATTGTAAGTTTGTGTAGTTTACTCTCTAGAGAAGAAGCAAGGGCATGGCATAACTGGTTTGCATTTTAAAAAAGTCATTCAGAAGGCAGCATGGAATAGGGTTAGAAGAATATCCAAAAAAGGAACAGTCAGAGAGGCCAGAGGACCACCAGTAGAGAACCAAGTCCCAGAAGCCAAGAAAGAAAGCGTTTCAAAACCTAAAATGGAGAATCAAGAATGCTGATACCCAGAGCCACGAACTGGGACATTCGGCAGTAGTAATTATTTGAAGGTTCTGTCAGGTGAGAGCCCAGCCACTCAAATGTTCTTGATACAAGATGACCAGACTCTGAGACTGAACACACATCTTTGGGAGGAAGCCATGAAGAAAGAAGGAAATAGACTAGCAAAGCAGATTATCCAACCCAACCAAGTGATGAGATTAAAAAGGTGGTACACAGCAACTCCTCCCATACACTGACTGCCCCCTGAAATCCCTGACAATCTACTATTGAAGGATTTGGGACCCCTCCCTTATGTCATCATAATCCATAACTGCAACACATATCGTTTATTTGCACTAAAATTATATTTTTTGAAATCTCATAACCCACTAAAATTTCTTTGCCAAGTTCTCAAACTGTTATTAAAATATGATAAGTGTCTTCTACCAATACATTTTCTTTATGGTAAAGCATCCCATAAGTCAGTGAACTGGCATTATACTGAGTACCTAATCAATTGTTTATTAGGAACAGGCAGATCCCTCTTCTGTTGGTAACGCCATCTAACAATGGACTGAAGCTTACCAGGATCCTCTACATTCTTTCATCTCTTAAGGTCAGGATAACACTAATAATAAATAGACCTAGTTTATTTGTCCCTCAATTAAATCGGTTTGGAAGATCTCTAATACATATATCACCTATGCTCAAAATAAGGAGCCATTTCATTTTACAGAATTCTATAAGCAAAGTATGTACATTAAACTTACCAATGGCCTTAATTGATTCTCCTGAGAAAAGTGGAGCTTCTTCCATCTGTGCCAGCTTGTTTCCATCCCTTAGAGCCTGGCAAGAAACCAAACAGGAGCAAATCTCACTTTTCAACTATCTAGCTAAAGAATTTTGGTGTTCTGTGCTCTCTCTTATAAGGCTACAGAAGCGTGCAAAATATATGCCTCCCCTTAAAAGACAATTTCAAAGCTCAGCATCACAGGACATCATGCTGCGTATTCTAGCAAATTGTTACAACATGTTTACATTTCACAGTTAGAAAGCATTAATACAGAATGGCTTGACATGACAGATAGATACCATATCACTACACAAACAGCTATTATAAGGTGCTTTCAGAATTTGGAAATAAGGTCAGAAAAGGTTACCCTCTGAGCATGAAACTAACACAAATAAAAACATTACATGTAGGTGCTTAGCTACCTGTAGAAATGATCAGCCTATGAGACAGTCTGGGAAACTCACAAGTCTAATTCAAATAACTAGAGAACAGTCTCAGGACAGTGTGTAACTAAGGAAAGCCCTAGGCTTTTGCACTGTAGCCCAGCTACATATATGTGTACATGACCACAAAGTACATGACAAGGGACATGGAGAGTGGGATTGTCACTGTTTACCCAATCCAGGCCACAAGAGACTATGCTGTCCATTTGGTAGGCAAGAGTACAGGTTCAGCATCTCTGATCTGAAAATTCCAAATGTCAAATTTTCCAAAATCTAAAACTTTTTGAGGGCTGACATGATACCGTAAGTGGAAAATTCCACTCCTGACTTCATATGATGGGTCTCAGTCAAAATGCATGCATACTAAAAATATTGTATAAAACTTCCTTCAGGCTATGTGTATAAGGTGTGTAAGAACACGAATTTCATGTTGAGATTTGGGTCCCATCCCTATGATATCTCATTATGCATATGAAAATACTCTGGTCCCAAGCATTTTGGATAAGGAATACTCAACCTGTATTCCAATCTCTATTATGGAATGAGGTGTGCTCACACTCACCAAGAAAGATGCTAGCGAGTTACTAGGTTTCCTTGCTACTAGGAGAAGGATGCCTGGGATGTCTGGTGCATTCCATGCCAACATTTCCATGACCAGACTAGCATGGTGGCCAATAGCCAGTCTCTTGTAAACTTCATTGGATAGTGCCAGATAACACAGGAGAGGTCAGGAAACAGTGTGCTTGAACTACAAAGCTAGGGACTGGAGCCTGAACTTGGAGTCTATTCTAAGGTACTGCCACCCTGTGAGATGCTACTAAGGAAACCAGTCACTTTCTCCTTGGCATGTGTGACATCATGCATCCTGAATAATAAGGTGATCAGAGCCCTAGAAAGTCCCAAGCTTTGTTTCATACAGCATTAATCTCCCAAGAGCTATAAATAGGTCTTAAAAAAGAAAGTCTGGGAAATGCTGGGTTAAACAAGTTAGGCTGTATTATTAGTGAGACAAGTCTTTAGTGTGTTAACGTACACCGAATCAGCAAGAGGGAACTAGAGTATAGTGCATGTTTCATACCTATGTAATCAGGGACTGCTTTTTCCAAGGAATACCTGTTAACACCAGGAGGCCACTAGTGTTCAGTGGAAAACAGGCTGGATAATACTAAGTTTTCAGAATAATGTCGTAAAGAAAAATGTTTGAAAATGGATCTTTTGTAATTCTAAATTATTGAAAATAACAAACAATAATTATTTCTCACAGATATAAGAATATTTCCACGTTTTATTAAAGGGACTTAAAGGCCAATTTACAAACACAATACACTAAGTAGTTACAAAAAAATTTTATAAAATAAAGGAAAATATCAAATATAAATAGCAAACCCAGTGCTAAATATTGGTCAGGAGTATATCTGTTTTACTGGGAGGGCAGAAAACAACATGGTCCATCCTTTTCCTTATCAAAAGCTGAATGGTTAAAATAATATGCACTAGGACTCATCAGTACCTCCAAATAATTTACTCAATTTGCATTTAGTACAGATTGGCTAAGACACAGCTCAGCCAAATTTTTAAAGGAATGAACACATTTAAGGGGACATATTGAACCATTTGTCATTTGTGTGTGTGTGTGTGTGTGTGTGTGTGTGTGTGTGTGTATTACTGGGATCAAACCCAAGGCCTTGTGTGTGCTAAGCATGTGCTCTACCACTGAGCTATACCCCTCAGCCCAAGATTGCTTTTAAGACTTTCATATAAACTTAATTTTCTTTTTCCATTTAATGTTTCCATTTTTATAGTGATTTCCATTATATATTTTTTTCTGTTACTGAGTATCACACCCAGGCCTCAAACATGATAGACAAATGCTCTACCACTAAGCTACAAACCCAGCCCCATTTGTAGATTCATTTTTATACTGTATAGCATACTTTTAAATGGTTTTAGAAACATTAAAGATCACCAATACTGATAGAAGCCTTATATTGAAAAGTCTTCTTTAATTTATTGTCTGAACTAGTGACTACTTTTACAGCATAGTCACAAAGTGAGAAAGCTCCTTTAATCAATGTTAGAGTTGTAAATTACTTCAAATGTTACATTGTTAAGCCTTATTGTGATGGTCAAATACTATATACTATGTAGACTTAAATTCCTTAACTTACTTGAAAATAAATGGAGATAGGTTATTTTGAAATATATTTATGAAAGCAAGATGTCCTAAGCAACAGAATCTGAAGAGGGTTGGGGAAGATAAGATTCCTGTTCAGCTTCAGAGCAAGCCACATTGAACATCTTAAAGTCCTGATGAATGAAATGTTGCATGTGGGGGACAGCCATTATTCTGACCATTTTGAGAACGCATAGGCTCTCAAGCTGAGGCTGAGGATCTAACAGTTATCATCTCTTCCCATAGCCATGATCAAGTGTAACTGGAAACACCTGTGCATTTATATGAGGTATGACTATATTGGTGAAACACAGTGAGGCAAAATCCTCACCGTGACCATTAAATCTTGGCCATGTTTTTAAATGACGAAAAGCAACCATCAGAATAAAACAAAAAATGACCACACTGCTTCAGACTTCCCCATGGGAGGTGCACTTGCAAAAGGATCACATTTAGCTTTAGCATAGGTACTCAAGAGAGCAGTTTTTAAAGGCTCGGGTTTTTTGGTGAGTACAGTAGATTCCCTTTATGGAGCTGGTGTTAGGAGAAGAAACTCACACTTGTGCTATATTAAGGTTTTCTGCAACTACCAGGTTGCACAGGACATGATTTGACCCTTGATTTATCCAACTCATGTACAGCACAATCAAAGGATGGAATAAATTTGATCTCATAAACAAACCCATCCCTCTTGGTGCCTTTGCCCAAAATTACCCAGCTGAGGAATTCTCCCTGATGATCTATCTCATCTCAGCCTTACACCTGCAACCCTAAAGGTCCAGCTGAAGTCTCCAGCTCCCTGTCTTTGTCCCTGGGGGCTCCAGTCCACTGAGATGACTCTGGCCTCTCTACTACTTTTCTCCTCAGCTTGACTCTAAGCTTCCAGGTGGACAGTCTATGTAACAGCTGCATGCTCAAAGCAGTGGTTTTCAAATAAAGTTCTTGAAGGTGCTTCTGGGATCACCAAAGGAGGGTGGGGCTGGGTGACAGAAGACAAAAGCACTGTGAAGCACCTGGAACTTGCCAGGCATCCCTGGAGCTGCTATTCTACAAGTCTCACACATTAAGTTTCTACATGCGCAGCAGGGAAAGCACTGCTACTTTTGAGACTCCAGAGACAGTTCGGAGGTACTGAGCAAAGAGTAAGCATTCAAGAATAGGAATGATTTTGTATTCTTACCAATAAATATAAATATATGTACTCATTCCACAAATACTTACAAGGTACCAGGTACTGTGCTAGGCATGGACCATGTAAATTTGAATAAAGCAAAGTCCACACCCTCAAGGAGCACCTGTGGCATATGTGTCTGTCCCCTGTAGGTCTTTGTAAAGGCACTTCAGAATCCAACAGTGATGGAGGGTCACTAACCTCATCAATAACCCTATCTGGGGAAACCGAGAAGCATAGGTGAACAAATTTCTAGTTCACAAAATGTTGGATAAACCAATTCTTGCAAATAATGTCATAATGGAATCTACCAAATTTGGAAAGTAGAGCACTACTGAGTGGTAAAAGCATTTGGAAAGCTTGGCTTATCATCTAGAAATCTAGTATGAAATGGTTTCTAGGTACATGGTCTGTAGCTACAAACAGATAAACATGTAGAACTTGCCACCTGATCAGCTTCAGCGTCAGAAGGATAGCCATTGTGTTCTTCCTGTATCTCCTGCACAGCACCAGGTGCATGGACAAGAAAAGGCAGAGAAGAGAAAGAGAAACACGTGCAAACAGACAGGTGAAAGGACAGAATTTCTTTTTTAAAGAGACAGTAAGCATGTAAAAGTCGACACACCTTTAATGGCTTTGCAAATCACAACATTTGCCCCTTGGAGTTAAGGAAATAACATGTAGGCCATCTATAGCATCCTTGGCCTAAAATGCAGTATCTAGTCTGTGCTTGTATTGAGGTAGAAAAATGAAAAGCAAACAAACATTATGGGTTTCAAAGAAGGTACTGTCTGTTTAAAATCAAGCAACACTGTAGCATGTAGCAAAAACCAAAATAACAATGCTCATCATGTGCTCATAAAACATAAAGCATACCACAGAAACCAGGTAAAGGGCAAAGTCAAGCCAAAATACAAAGGTGGTTCAGAGAAAGGAATTTTAAACACAGTATTTGTATACTCTAAAGAACTATTATATTGCCCAGGGGTAAATTTCACTGCACACATGCACATAACACATGCTGGAGATTTTATAAAAACATACATATATATGTGCCTGTTTCTTATTATTTATTGCTAATTAAACACTGTGACTCAGAAATCTGTATTACATTAAATATTTCTAACTGCAGTATCAACAACATGCTTCAAAGAAACAACTAAAGGGTCACATATCCTTCAATTGTTTTCCAATCTCTTTAAAGGTATAGTACTCTCAACTTCTTCATAGAATCAATTTTTATTTGAAACTTTTTAAAACTGGACTTCTAGTTCAGTAGGTGGTATAAAGAATATGAATACTTAAGATGGTAAGATTTTACCCTTTTAAAAGTGGTGGCAAGTCTGAGGCTGAAAATACTAAAATTTACAATAGCTACATTTTTACTTTATGAAACTTTTATTCCAATGACTATATGTTCTTAAACAGGCATCTAGAAGAAGTAGCAAAGCTTTAAAAGAATTTACTATTTCTCACCTCTCAATTTTGTCAACAAAGTATAGTAACTACTTAACACATTTTAAAGTCTATCATCAAATTAAATTAAGTGCACAGTTGGTCCAGCTGCCCTTCGAAGCAGTGGAATTTTTAAATGCAGCCAGTTTTTTGAAATTTCCATTTTTTAAATAAAAAGAAAACAAAATCATTATTTGATTTAAAAATAATGAATTTAGTGACTATACCAAAAAAACATACAGCATTTCAAAGTCCATGCAAGTGTAAAGCCAAACACTAATATTTAACAATGTGAATCAATGAAAGACAATAATTCCCACAAGCAAAAGAAAACATGGTGAAAACAAGATTAAAAAGGTTAACAAGAATTTTACTTAACCTAGTTATTTTTGTACTACTTTATTGGCTTCATTAAGATTAAATACTTTAAACTGAAGTGATTAAAATATACTGTCAAAGTCCACATTGTTTTTATTTAATGGAAATAGGTTATTTTTCAATGTCTGATACTAAGAGTTAAATGCATGCATATTACCAATCTTTGTCTTGCTTTATGAATATTCTGAAATAAAGGGAAGGAAAATCATGAGTAAAAGATAAGCTATAATCCACTTTATCTGTATTTTTTTTTAAATATTAACTGGGTCTGATTTTGCTAAATTTTTCTTCAAGATTAGCACTCATGCTTTTAAATTCAACATGCAAACACAAGTATGACTCAAAATCTTACTTGGAAAGGATGAACAGTAAGTCACCACTCTTTTTTGGTCGCTAAATTCTTTATCATGAATCATACAATAGGCAAGGTTATAAGAGGCCTCTGTAAGCCTAGACTTACATATAACCCCAACCATGAATATCCTTTTGGTCAGAATTCATGTAGGACAAGGAAAGTCAGTATTGCATATTGGTAACAATTTTAGCACCCTGCCTTCACACATTCTGGCTTACTGCACACAAAAACACTGTAACAAATAAAGCATTTCTAGTGAACACTTAAAGCTATGACATAGCAGAGCAAATTGATCTGAGTGACTCAAAAACCAGTGAGAAGGTAAAGAACACTAAAGAGACTAAGTGTTCCATAAAGCACAGACACACACAAGTAGGAGGCCCATCTGCTGAAAGCCAAATATCCTTACCCTTATATCAGGCCTCCTGAAAACCTGTCAGTTAAAATACAGAACATCATCATCATGGACATGTTACTATTGACCTGTGAAAGATGCCATTAAGTTCAACCTCCTATTCGCTTAGAAGCATCATAATCCTCTAAATAAAACTGAGGAGATCAAGCCTAACAAGTTTTATTAAATATCAAACCAATCCTAACACATTTGTCCTGTAATTTTCAGGGAAGTCTATGATTTGGAGAAATATATCCCCCTTAGGCTAAGACAAACTACATTATTTTAAACACAAACACCCCTGTCAAGTGCTGTTATAAGATGTCATGAATAGGCTGTATTTGAGAAGTTCATTTGTGTTTCTGCTTGGAATACTGAATGCATTTTCCACATAAAAATGACAATAGAAAAAGGCAGTTACGCTCCCAAACCAGCCTATAAAAACAAAACACAACAAATCACAGAAACCCCCACACTGGTTCCACAGCACAGTTCAGCTATATTATTAACTAATGGTTTCCTGAAACTGAGGTAATCACAAAGCTTAACCTGATTTCTATTGAATTTACATTTCCAACTGGGTGCCAGTTGCTGGTAACTCACACCTGTAATCCTAGCTACTTGGGAGGTTGAGATCCAAAGGATCAGGGTTCAAGGCCAGCCAGGGAAAATAGCTTCTAAGACACCCACCTCCCCAGCCAATAGCCAAAATAACCAGAGCAAGATGAACTGGAGGTGTGGCTTAAGTGGTAGAGTGCTTGCTTTGGGACCATGAAGACCTGAGTTCAAACCAAGTCCCACAAAAAAAAAAAAAAGAAAGAAAGAAAGAAAAAAATTACATTTCCAATTCATATGTGGGACTTCAGAATTAAATTTCCAATGTGGTCACCCCACTGGGAGCAGGATGCCTGCTCTAATGGATAACGACAGTGAAGGGGAAGCTCCAGGGACTTGGAGGTAGTAGCTGGTCCCGGAGAAAAAGTGAGGCCATGCTGTGTTCAACTAAGACACTGACTTCAGCAACATTACTCCTGTGCCTGTAAGCCTGTGAATCTTAATTGAACATGCAGCAGCTGCATTAGGAAGTCCTTGGTCAAACGAGATAGCCAAAAAATGAATGAACTTTTGAAATGCAAACAATTGTGATAGTCTGGGGAAGATGTTACTGGTCTCCATGCCCCTTTCCAAAGTCCACATCCTAGCATTCTAACCAATGGATGCACCTCAATTTGGTCCTGCTCTTTGCATACTTGAACAGGTGCTCATGTCATGTTTCTACAAGAATAATTTGCTTGTTTTGTATTTGGTTTTTACACAGACATTTTTGTAGGGTGATACTGTACAGTAAATGAGCATTTGTATGTGTTTTCTACATACATTGCCATATTTAACACATTCAACAATACCCATTATGTAGATAAGGACACTGATGCTCAACAAGACTAAATAACTTGTTAAGCAGCTGGTCAGTCAGTTATAGGGCTGGATTCACAGTAAAAAGTGCTCCAACACAAAATTTTATAATCATTTACATAAATCACATAAGACAATTCTAATTCAGATAAATACCACTTCTTTATAAATGAATTATCTTTGAGCTTATGCCTTAGTAGCTTCTTTTCGAGAAAAGAGAATATTGGGGTAAAAACACTATTGCCTTCTGTCTTAGGTATAAAGCCTACCAATAATTTTAATTTAGTAATCAGATCGGTACAAAATGAGTTTTACAAAAGAGCTTGATCGAACAGGGAAGTTTGAACTATTCAGTAAGGAAATGATTCTTCTTTCTAAAGTAAAACTAGGCATGTTTGTTGGAGCCTCAGCCACCAGAAGTATTTACCAGCTTGACCTAACCTGTCAGAGGCCAAGGACAGAATTAAAATCTCAAATAGTAAAATAATCTTCCCTATGCACTTTTCAACAAGGTCATCAAAACACAACTCTGGCTCTGGGAAATTAGACACACCTGAACTTTGCCTGATCTGGTAAGTCAAAACCTGACAAAAACAATCACTCTGTAAAGCCCTCCAAGAAATGGGATGAATGAGGTGTGTACTTCCATCCTGGCAGAAGTATGCCAGCACAATTTCCACTTAAAAAAGAATAAGTATTTTTGTAATTGAACTAGACGGTAATTCTTGATATACTTTTCCGTAGGTAAATTCTAACATCTTTATTAGCCTAACTGATTTTTCACTTATGCGATACCTTATGAATCATTACAAATCCTAATAAAAATTTATTTTACATTCAGTTTAGAATCATTCAGCAGTCTGCACAAGTCTTGAATTTTTAAGATTAAGCTTTTAATCTTGAGATAATTGTAGAGTCACATGCAGCTGTGAGAGATAAAGCAGACTCCATGTAGCAGCAGTCACCCTATTTCCTCAATGGGAACATACTACAAAACTACCGAGCAGTATAAGAAGCAGGATGTTGACACTGACACAATCAAGATCCACAGATATTTCATCACCTGCCATTGCCTTTTACAGCCCTCCATCCACTTTCTTAGCCCCCAGCAACCTTTAATCTGTCTTCATTTCTGTAATTTTGTCATTTAGAATGTTATATAAATGGAACTATACAATATATAATCTCTTGGTTGTTGGCATTTTTACCCAGTGTATTTCCGTTAAGATTCCTTCAAGTTGCTGAGTATATCAGTATTTCCTTCCTTTTGTTATTGAGTAATATTTCATGGTATGGGTGCACCCTAGTTTAATACCTGTTGAAAAAGATCCAGGCTGCTTCCAGTTTCCAGCTATTATAAATAAAAGCTGGTATAAACAGTCATGTACAGCTTTTTCATGTGAACATAAGCTTCACTTCTCTGGGACAAATGCCCAAGAGCACAATTGTTGGGCCACATAGTAACTGCATGTTCAGATTTTTTTTAAGAAACTGCCAAACTGTTTTCCAGAACGGCTGAATCATTTGACATAACCACCAAAAGATAAATGATTCAGTTTCTTCACATCCTTGCCAGTCTTTGATGATATCATTTAAAAAAAAATTCTAATCATTCTGATAGATATGTAGTGATATCTCATCGTGGTTTTAATTTGCATTCACCTATTTTTTTTTCTTGCAGTACCGGGGTTTGAACTCAGGGCCTACACCTTGAGCCACTCCACCAGCCCCTTTTGTGATTTTTTTTTCGAGATAAGGTCTCACAAACTATTTGCCTAGGCTGGCTTCAAACCACAATCCTTCTGATGTCTGCCTCCTGAGTAGCTAGGATTACACACAATGAGCCACCACTTGAGACACTCCGCCAGTCCTGCATTCACCTATTGCTAATTATGTTGGCTATCTTTTCATGTGCTTATCTGTCATCTGTATATTCCTCTCATGTCTTTTGTCCATTTTCTAAATGGATGGTTTGTTTTTTTTTACTGTTAGATTTTGGGTTTTTTTTAGGATGTTCTAGATACTAATCCTTTGTCAGATATGAAGTTTGCAAATATTCTCTCTCCTGTTCTGTAGCTTGTCTTTTCATCCTCTTAGCTGGCTGGATATGTCAGACCAAACATTTCTTAAATATTTATCAATTTTTCCTGTTACAGATTGTGCTTTTGGTATCAAGTCTTAACAATTTTTGGCCCCATGTACTTGAAATTTTTTCAAAGTTTTATTTATTTTTTTTTCATTTTTCTTTTATTATTCATATGTGCATACAAGGCTTGGTTCATTTCTACCCCCTGCCCCCACCCCCTCCCTTACCACCCACTCCGCCCCCTCCCTCTCCCCTCCCCCCTCACTACCCAGCAGAAACTATTTTGCCCTTATTTCTAATTTTGTTGTAGAGAGAGTATAAGCAATAATAGGAAGGAACAAGGGTTTTTGCTGGTTGAGATAAGGATAGCTATACAGGGCATTGACTCACATTGATTTCCTGTGCGTGGGTGTTACCTTCTAGGTTAATTCTTTTTGATCTAACCTTTTCAAAGTTTTATATCTTTAAGTTCATTAATTTTGTATGATACATGTGACTTAGGTTAAGGTTCAGTTTCAAATATGCACATACTTGTTTTGTTTTGCCTACAAAAGTCCAATTACTCAAGTAGCATTTGTTGAAAAAACTCTTTCCTTCATTGAATTGCTTTTGTGTTCTCATTTTTAAAACTTAGTTGAGCATATTCTGTGGGCCAATTTCTGGATTTTCTGTTCTCTTTCACTGATCTGTGTATCTATACCTCTGCCATGGTCTTGACTACTATATCTATACAATATGTCCTGAAATCAGTAGGCTGATTCCTCTGACTTTATTCTTCAAAATTGTTTCAGCTATTCTAGTTCTTTTCTATATGAACCCTGGTGATCAATGGGGTGACAGATGTCGCAGTCAGATCGCCCTCACATCCATAATCTTTTCTATACCTACAAAAAAGTCTCTCTAGGATTTTGATAGGAATTGTGCCAATTCATTTATCAATTTCAGAAGAAGTGACATCTTTGTTACATTCAATTATTATGTTAAATACATGAGTCCAGTATTGTCTCCATTAATTTAGATCATCTGATTTCTTTCATCAACAGTTTGGTAGTTTTCAGCATATTAGTTTTATTCATGTTTGTCAGATTTATACCTAAACATGTAATCTTTATGATACTAATGTTTTAACTTTTGGTTGCCATGTGTTGCCAGTACACAGAAATACAAGTGATTTTTGTATATTTATTTTGTGCTTGTGACCATGCTAAACTCATTGATTAGTTCTAGGAGGGTTTTCGCTTGTGTTTTCTTCCTTCCTGATATTGAAGATTCATACCTTCATTGCTTCCTTTCTATTCAGAGAACTTCCTTTACTAGTTCTTTTAGGATAAGTAGGCAGGTGGCAAATTCTCTTCATTTTCCTCATCTGCAAATGTCTTGATTCCTAAGCATATTTTTTACTGGGTTGACAGTTTTTCTTTCAATACTTGAACAATGTGCCCCTTCCTTTCTATCTGCATAGTTTCTGCTAAGAAAGCCATTGCCACTGGTATTAATTTTCCTATGATGTGTTATATTTCTCTTATTGATTTCAAGATTT